TTGTTTGATTTTTTTTTTTTTTTTTTTTTTGGGCTAGAGAGTCCAACTTGCCTACCGTGCCGAGACAGTAGCATATATTTCTTATCCTATTGGTTGTCTCATTGTTATTTCAAATTGTAAAACAATATTCTTCGTGAACTTTTCCCCTTTTCGGTCATTAAATATTATATTTGGCTTTCAATAAGGCCCCGTCTGGCCCAATCCGTGCGGGTCTTGAAATTTGTCGGGTCTAAGCAGAGCAGCCCTCCATTTAGATGGACCTTAAAATGGTCAGCCTAACACAGCCCTAATAGGGCCTCCAGTTGGGCTGGGCCATCTCAATGGTAACATAGGAGATTTATGAAAATTTTACCTCCTATAGTAAAGGTATACACACTATTTATTATAAACCAAAATCATTTGAAATTATTATTTTCTATAGCTACATTTTATATTTTATAGCAAAATAAGTATTTTATGGCATATACTACTATTGAGGCATGAAATACGCTATTTATGTTTTTTTTTTCTCTTAGACAGCTGGACATACCTAATATTAAGGGATTGTCGTTACTGTATTCATGAATACATAGCGCGAATACATGTGAATACATGCGTGTACAGCTATATTCATGAATACAACAGCGCGAATACATGTGAATACATGCGTGTACAGCTGTATTCATGAATACAACAGCGCGAATACATGTGAATACATGCGCGTGCAGCTGGACTGCCCTGATTTTAGGAGCTTTTTGCTGTTGTATTCATGAATACATGGCTCGAATACATGTGAATACATACACGTACTGCTGGACTACCCTGAGTTTAGGCGCTTTTTACTGCTGTATTCATGAATACAGCAACACGAATACATATGAATACATTCGCATACAGCTAAACTGCCCTGATTTTAGGCGCTTTTTACTGTTGTATTCATGAATACATGGCGCGAATATATGTGAATACATGCGCGTATAGCTGGACTGCCCTGATTTTAGGCGCTTTTTACTGTTGTATTCATGAATACATGGCGCGAATATATGTGAATACATGCGCGTATAGCTGGACTGCCCTGATTTTAGGCGCTTTTTACTGTTGTATTCATGAATACATGGCGCGAATATATGTGAATACATGCGCGTATAGCTGGACTGCCCTGATTTTAGGCGCTTTTTACTGTTGTATTCATGAATACATGGCGCGAATATATGTGAATACATGCGCGTATAGCTGGACTGCCCTGATTTTAGGCGCTTTTTACTGTTGTATTCATGAATACATGGCGCGAATATATGTGAATACATGCGCGTATAGCTGGACTGCCCTGATTTTAGGCGCTTTTTGTTCCTGTATTCATGAATATAGCAGTGCGAATACATGTGAATACACTACCGTAATAACTGAATAGTAGCTATAGGAAGTAATTATGTATATAATAGCTATAGGAAGTTAATAGCAACTAAACAATAGTGATTTCTGAAAATTTCTCTAGATTTATTGGTATATATACTCGACATCACTAGTATGTTTATACTCTTTAAAAAGATAAAGTTTCGAGCTTGGGGAGGTTACTGAAACGGGAAAATTATATTAAAAGTTTAAACCACAATAAGAAGTAGATGTGGAAAAAATGGACTTTTTTTCTCGAAGTATTTTGACACGTAGCTTCCACCCATTTCATGCTGGAACTCTGCTATGGAAAGGGTAATACAAGACAGTTTGCTAACGATAAAGGTGAGCAAGACTCAATAAATATGGAATATAGAATTGAACAATTTCGGATGTTATAGGAAAATTTTGGACCTTTTCCAAGAAATAAATTGTTTTTTTTTTTTGGATCTTACTAATTAATAACACGAGAGCGATGCCATAGTCGACAAATAGGAAGGATAGAGACGTGGTAATGATAATTGGGAATGGAATTGCAAGTTGAAATGGTCCTAGCATGCATTAGTATTTGCCATTGCTGTGTAGACTTATTTTTGTATTTGATTCAGAGCTGGCTTTACTAGTGGTTTTAAATGTTCTTGTTTACCCAGGTTGCCATGTTAGCTTGACATTTGATGCACTTTTGCTGGGTTTTGGTCCCTCTTTGCTCTTTAATATACTTTTTTCGCTCCACTTTAATTGATTTTTTGACCTGGTCGAGAATATTTGATATCAGATATCAATAAATAATTAACTTTTTTTTTTCTAATGTTGCTCTTGGAATAAATGTATCTATTATATTTCTAATGAACAAACTAAGGTTAATATGATCAATTTTCTTATTAATTAATGTTAAAAGGTAAATTTTTTAATGTGTGTGAAAACCGTCAGAAAAATTAAATTAAAGTGGACCGAAGGAAGTGGACCGTCAGAAAAATTAAATTAAAGTGGACCGAAGGAAGTACAATATAATGCTTGATTTATATGTATGTCCTCATTTTGCCAATTGTGCTTTGGGCTCCACCTTTTCCCCTACTTCAAATATCTGGTCGGAGTCCCCGGGGTGGTTTATTACTATTTATTTATATTTTGGTCCATTACTTCACCAAGTTTTTTAGTTCTTGAAAATTGATTGAGAAGTTTATTTTTGGCACCATTTTGGCCTCCACTTTTATACATCATAACTGTTATTTGTTCCTATGTTGACTTGCAAGTTGTAATTTTGAGAATTTAGAACTTTTCAACATAATGTTGACATGCAAGTTGTGATATAGAGAATTAAGAACCCTCTCAAAGCTGCTTGAGATTTCCCAGTAGTATATGTGCGAGTCGGATGTATATACGGACCTTATAACAAGTTTTGGAACTGAAATTGATTGGGATCATATATTTTAGCATTTGACAATTGCATTTTCAAGCTTTTGAAGTTGCTCTAGAAGTTCATCAATCTCATCGACAATTCAATTAAGATCCGCCCCCTAACTCAGGGACGGAGCCGGAGTGCGGCATGCGGGTTTGGCGAATTCAGTGGCTTTTGTTCAAATTATGTACTTGTCTTGAGAAACCCAATAACTTAAAAATGACAACAAGCCCGAACTCATAAGGTCCAAATCCTGGCTCCGCCTCTATTTGAACAATATGCATATATGCAAAAGATTCACACATATGCCAGGGGCGGATTTATTGGG